GTTTTAATCATTTTTAAGTGTACAATTCAATGACATTAATTAATTTAAGGAGCCCTGGTGGTGTGGTGATTAAGCACTTGGCTGCTAACCAAAAGGTCAGCGGTTCTAACCTACCGGCCACTCCACGGGAGAAATATGTGGCAGTCTGCTTCCATGAAGATTGTAGCCTTGGAAATCCTATGAGGCAGTTCTGCTTTGTCTTATAAGGTCACTATGAGTTGGAATTCAACTTGACAGCAGTGAGTTTTGGGTGGGTTTAATTATATTTACCATGTTTTGCAACCATCACCACAGTTGATTTATGTCTCCCTAAACAGAAACTTAGTACTTTAAGTAATAACTCCCCATTCCTTCCTCCACCCAGCCCCTGGTAAAAGCTAATAAGCATTTGTCTCTATACATTTGCCTATTCTAGATATTTCATATAAATGAGATCATATAATATATGTCCTTTAGTGTCTAACTTATTTCACTTAGCATAATGTTTTCAAGATTCATCCATGTCATAGCATGTATCAGAATTTCATTTCTCTTTATGGCTAAACAATAGTCCATTGTATGGATATACACCACTTCTCACTTATAGACATGGTTAGGCTAAGAGTTTCATGGTTTTAGTTCTTATATTTAGGTCATTGATCTATTCTGAGTTAAATTTTATACATGGTGTGAGTTAGTGGTCCAGCTTCATTCTTTTGCATGTGGAGATCCTGTTGTCCCAGCATCACTTATTGGAGAGACTATTCTTTCCCTGATGGGTGGACTTAGCAGTGTTGTCGAACATCAGTTGGCCATATATGCATGGCTTTATTTCTGTACTCTGAATTCTGTTCTGTTCGTCTATAAGTCTATCCTTATACAAGTACGATACTATTTTGATTACTGTAGCTTTATAGTATGTTTTGAAATAGGGAAGTATTAGTTCTTTTACTTTGTTCTTTTTCAAGACTGTTTTGGCTATTCAAGGCCTCTTCTGATTCCGTATGAATTTAAGAATCAGCTTTTTCATTTCTGCAAAAAGGCTGATAGATTTTTAATAGAGATTGCATTGAATCTATAGATCACATTGGGTAGTATTGACATCTTAACAATATTCAGTCTTTCAGTCCATGAACATTGGATGTCTTTCCATTTATTTAGGTCTTCCTTAATTTCTTTCAGCCATCTTTATTGTTTTCTGTTTATAAGTCTTTCATCTCCCTTGTTAGGTTTATTCCTAGATATTTTATTCTTTTAGATGGTACACCTATCTTTAAATTCCATCCATCAGTATAGAGTACTATCTAGTCCTCATAATAAATCAACCTCATTTTTCAATAGTTCTAGATGTCATGGATAATTTGAAGTGTTGTTTGCAGTGGGACTTCCAAAAATATTAACTTCTGAATTATATATTTTAGCCACAATTATTCCTCTTTGCCAAGATCCCCGCCTGTCTGTCTTTATTGATTTGACGTCAATTATGGATTTACCTAATAAGACAGAAAGTGTAAGAGAAGGTAAGAAGACCAGATGGCCAGATTGCCAGATCCTTTTTGAAATGGACCCTGTCTACCAAAATAAGGTAAGCTTAAAAACAGTTCATCTTAAGGAATCTTTGTTTAAGGAACAGGAACCCACTGAAGTTATCTTTGATGAAAGGGGTTTGTTGAAAGATTAGAGTGTTAAGATTCATGCCAAATGGAAAACCATTCCAAGCTTATCTCCCCATCTATCTTCCTCATGATCTCTCATCTATGCTCACTTCTGTGTGTCTTGTCCATCTTCTACTATGCAAATGAGCTTTCTCTTTTATGACTATTTCATCATATGGCTTTTCAATATGTGTATTTGCCATGGCTCCAACTCTTGCCATTTGTTAATGGAAAACAAATTTGTTAATGGATAATGTGTTTAAATTTACAAGAGAATCTGATTGACTTAACTTGCGTCAAGAGTCTACCTATCCAAATTAGCTATGCCTTGAGTATGGGGTGAGGTCACACGGTGTATAAAGTTGCCCTTCCTAGGGCTATGCATAGGGCATACACGCTAAAACAGGATGGCAAGCAAGGAAATAAATGGATTGGTATTTCCAGTATATGGTTCAAAATAATATGTTAATTATAAAGTTAAATAGCTTAGTAAACCTTTATATAAAAGTCAAATATAAAAATATCATCTAAATTTTCTGAAGTCTTCTGTTTCCAACATACTTAGACATTTAATAGAAGTTCTTAGCAAAATGAACTCCACATAAGACAACTGTTATTTCAACAGAAACTATTAGCCATTAGAACACACTATTTTTTTTTTACCTTTAAAATAAAAATCTGACTAAGTTTTTATCATTTTTAATTACAGATTGTGAATCTTCTGACTGTTATTGGTAATTCAATGAGCCTAGTTAATTTGTACAGCTGCAAATTTCTAAAGTATTGTACCATTGTACAAAAAGCCAAAACCATGAGTATGAAAATGTCATCTATGAGAGGAGAATTGACTTCAGCACAGTTTAAGAAAATACTAGATAAATTCAGAAAGTATCTTAGATATATTGTGAATATGACCATTGAGAAGCGCATTGGTATTTTCAAAGTTATGAGCATTGATTATCAGTCAGAATGCTTAGTATATGTTGATGATGTCATAAACATGAGCCACACCCTCCTGCGATCTGCAGTTCAACAAAAGAATGCCAATCTATTGCAGGCAAGTATTTTGCAATTTTCTGTTGCTTAAGAATGTTACAGATTAGTCTATTATAATTTTAAAATACAAACTTAGAAAATAGACATAAGTATTATCTTCAGAAAATTCCAACGTTTATTACATTTATTTGTGTCTTGATCAAATGTCCCTTCCTCAAAGAAACCTTCTCTGACCACTGTATCTAAAATTGCACCCCATATCATTTCTACCTTCTTTCCCTGTTGTATCTTTATAACGTGTATCACTGCCTGACATTGTTATATATTCATTTATTTGTTGATCATCTCCTTCACTAGAATGTAAGCTCCAACAGGTTATGGAGTATGTCAGATAAGTCTTTTAGAACCAATACATGTTGGGGTTTCACTGTGTTTTAGGGCTGACCTCTTTTTAAGAAGGCTTCTGGGTGGGCAGAGCACAGTGGTTTGGAGCCTGTACACATATTTCAGAGCTGAGAAAGTGTGAAAATCCAGGAACACTCAAAATAACCTACCCATTCATTAATTATTTCTACCTATTACCCATGTAAGTTTCTAGGACAGATGTAGATCCTAGTAGACCAGCCATGGTCTATATAAGCTCCCTCAGTAGTGCCTCAGATCTGATTACCAATGTAAATTTGTAATAATAGTCAATATTTGTTCTTTTATTTAATCAGACCACAAATATTTATTAAGCATCTATTATATACCAAGTATTGTACTAGGTCCCTGGAATACAGTGATGGGAAGGATACACTCATTCTTGCATTCATAGAGTCTAGTCTAGCAGAAAGTATGTAGTCAACAGGGAGTTCTAATAAAATATAGCTACTCTGACATTAAAAGTAGATTGTGCTATAGTAATACAGAGCAGAAGTACCTAACCTAACCCAGGCAGGGTCATAGACAACTTGCTACATGAAGTTCTAACATCTAAAGGAAGAATAAGAATTAGCTGGCCAGTGGGGAGTGGTATGGAGGCAATGGGAGGAGAAGAGAAAGAATATTCCAGGAGTATAACTTAGATTCAATTTATATGACAAAAACAAAACAAAATGTTACAGTGGCTTAAACAAGATAAAATTAGTTTCTCAAGAAAAACTCCAGAGAGAGAGAGACAACCTAGAGCTGGTATGATGGCTTCATGAAGTCATCAGGAACATACGCTTCTTCTAGCTTATCACTCTGCCAATCATAGAGTGTGATTCTCATGCACATTATCCAGGATGGCTGCTGTCTTAAGCTAGGTTCTACAGAGGAGCAAAACCAGTGAAGCATATAAATAAATATATATAGAGAGATTTCTTTCTCACGCAATTGCGGAGGCTGGCAAGTCCCGAATCCGTGGGTCAGGCAACAGGCTGGAGCCTTCTTCTGACTCACGTGATTGTAGGAGCTAATGAACCCAAAATCTATATGTCGCCTTTTGCTTTTATCTCGCCAATTTCAGAATCTTCCGTTTGTCTTTAATCTTTGAGAGCTTGATTTTGATGTGTCTTGGTGTGTGCTTCTTAGTGATTTTAATGATAATCTTTCCTCTCTTGATCTAAAAACCAAACCAAACCCATTGCCGTCAAGTCAATTCTGACGCATAGTGACCCTATGGGACAGAGTAGAACTGTCTGACAGGGTTTCCAAGGAGTGGCTGGTAGATTTGAACTGCTGACCTTTTGATTAGCAGCTGAGCTCTTAACCACTGCTCCACCAGGGCTCATAATCAAATGCATTTCTCTATTATTAATTAAAAGCAAACTACTTTACCCAGTAACATGCTGTATTCCTCCACTTCATTTCCTCACCCCAATAAAATAAGATCTTTAAAATGGTGTCATTTCCTAAAGCTCGCCTCCTTTAAAAATCAGATGTTAGGATAATCTAACTTCTTTCTCCCCATGAACTACTAGTTTTCACTAAGTTCTCTGAGTACTTTTAGTTCTAATTACTACAATAGCAGTATGTTCCTTCTATTAAAAAATAATCTTTATATAGCACTTGTATATTCCCAGAAAAGTCCATCTTCATCCATTTAGCTTTAATTATTTAGAGTGGAATCAGAATCCAGTGTTTACAAGCACTGCTGGTGGTGCCAGACTAGCTAAATTCAAAACCTCCGGTTTCAGCTATGATGGTGAAACAAGCACTAGACTTAACCTTCTGCCACAAACAACTAGAAAACTGAACAAAATATATGAAAGAAATACTTTCAAACACTGGATAATAAGCAATGCAGGACTGTGATCCTGGAGGTAAAGGAAACAAAGAGCTGAAAGCATTTCTTCCTGGAGGAATTTTTGGACTGCACATATAAGGGGGGTGGAATAAAAGCAGAGCCTAGTGGCCTCACTGAGTTGAGGAGATAGCCAAAATTTGCATGACAGAGTCCTATAAAGAAGAGATTTGTGCAGAAAAAGCCCCCAAAATGGGACACTATGATTCTTTGCCAACTAGGCTTCACAGACATAGAGTAAAAGTCCACAAATTGTTACAAGCAGAACAATTTCCAGAGCTCACATAAGTCAGGTTCCAAACACCCAGGGTGGAGAATCTCAGTGATCATATACGGCATTTAGTGACGACCTCAGAGGATTACACATTAGTAATAAAGCTGAGTTATTCCTAAAGGGAAGGCCATTCTACACAACCAAAGCAAAGATTAAAAACAGGCCTCAAAGCAACCAAACTGATCTGCAAGTAACCACTTGACAAAATGGAGGACCAAGCCAAAACACCAAACCCATTGCCATAGAGTTGAATGGAGATCAGCACTCTTTAAATGAAGACAACAAAAACAAGACACATAGCATGCAATACAACAATGCCTAGTTTTGAGGCGGGGCCAAGATGGCAGAGTAGTCAGATGCTTCTGGTGGATCCTCTTACAACAAAGACCAGAAAAAACAACTGAACATCAAAGGCAGAGTTGAGGAACTGGACTGAATGGCGGGGAAGGAGAGACAGTTCGGAAGCAGTGAGGAGTTGCCAGACCTGACCTGGTGAGAGCCTGAGCCCTTCAGGCCTGATCAGCTCGGGGAGAGCAGTGAGGCAGGCAAGCGGCAGTGCTTGGGAGGTGGGTTTTCTGCACCGGGAGAGACTCAGCACCAGAGAGTCTACACAACCACCCAGAATCAGTGAGAAGCAGCTCTGGATCTGCGAAAGATAAGTAATTGCGTACGGCCTACCACGTGGATCAAAAACACCCCCTTAGGGAAAAACCTCTCTCCATTTATCTCCCCACTCCCTGCTCTGCACTGGATCCGGGACCGGCTTCAGCAATTACCGAGTCCCCTGGGCCAGAAGTAGGATCCGTCACACGCCCGGAGCCATTCTCCCTGCCTTGGAGAGTGAACAAATTAACAAACAGAGGAAAAAATAAACTGCCAGCTCCCCTAAGCCAGGAACCCAGGGTAGGCACAGCTCCTTTGCCTAGACACAGGCATAAGGGGTCTATGGACTTTGAGTGGCTTTCCCCCTGCATAGACTTGTGTGGGCCCATCTCAATGGCGTAGGCCCTCATTACCACAGTACAGCAGAGTATATACCAGAAGTCTAACTTCAACTGTTTCAGCTGTGAAGTGGCGGGTTCTTGACATTTGACACTGCTCTGCCCATTAAGCAGGGTCTTCACCTACCCACATCAGGGGCCTGAGGACTGGTGGCTCCACCCACACCACCTAGCCACCCGTGATAGGGGCCCATTAATAAGAGATGTGCCCCAGTCCTTACAGCCAACAGCATTGGGTGCTCATAGTCTGGCTGCAAAACCCACCCACCTATGTTCTCTAGGGAACAGGGACACAACTTCCTCCTGGACACTCGGGGGTGGCCCTCAGCCCCCTGTCTTGCTCAGAGTGTGTCCCCCTGCTGCAGCCAGATGCCTGTGCCTACACCAATCACTCATGCCTGTCTAGGACTGTAAGTGACAGCCTAGACCACACACTTTGTGGCTATCTACCTGGGCACCTGAGCTGAATCCATACAGGAGGAGTGGGCAAACTCCTGAGCTCACATACCAAGTAACAGATCTAACCACCTGGGGACAGGACATTAGAGCTTCAAAGGTGCCAATAATCAAACTAGCTCATATGAGCAGCCTATTTGGGCATATCAAAACAAAACGAAGCTAAGACACAGTAAGCAAACATAAACTAAATAACTTATTGATGGCTCAGAGACAACAGTCAATATCAAATCATATAAAGAGGCAATCCATGATGGCTTCAGCAAGCTCCCAGAATACAAAATCTAGAAATTTTCCAGAGGAGGAAAATTTCTTGGCATTACCAGAGACAGAATACAAAAGATTAATATACTGAACTCTTCAAGAAATTAGGAAGGGAATTAAGCAAAATGCAGAACACAATAGAGGAAATTAAAAAGAGAAGAGCATAATGACAAATTTAACAGGCTGCAAGAGTCCATAGAGAGACAGCAATCAGAAACCCAGAAGATTAACAATAAAATTTCAGAATTAGACAACTCAGTAGAAAGTCAGAAGAGCAGAATTGAGGCAATGGAAGTCAGAATTAGTGAGATTGAAGATAAAGCACTTGGCACCAACTTATTTGAGGAAAAATCAGATAAAAGGATTTAAAAAAATGAAGAAACCCTAAGAATTATGTGGGACTCTATCAAGAGGAATAACTTATGAGTGATTGGAGTACCAGAACAAGGGGGGATAACAAAAAATACAGAGGCAATTGTTGAAGATCTGTTGGCACAAAACTTCCCTGATATTGTGAAAGATGACAAGATATCTATCCAAGATACTCATTGAACCCCACATAAGGTAGATACCAAAAGAAAGTCACCAAGACATAATCAAACTTGCCAAAACCAAAGATAAAGAGAGAATTTTAAGAGCAGCTAGGGATAAATGGAAAGTCATCTACAAAGGAGAGTCAATAGGAATAAGCTCGGACTACTCAGCAGAAACCATGCAGGCAAGAAGACAATGGGATGACATTTATAAAGCCTTGAAGGAAAAAAACTGCCAGCCAAGAATTATATGTCCAGCAAAACAGTCTCTCAAATATGATGGTGAAATTAGGGCATTTCCAGATAAACAGAAGTTTAGGGAATTTGCAAGAACCAAACCAAAATTACAAGAAATACTAAAGGGAGTCCTCCAGTTAGAAAATCAGTAACATCAGATAACAACCCAAGACTAGCACATGGGGTAGAGCAACCAAATATCAACCCAGATAGGGAAGTCACAAAAGTAAATCAAAGCTAAAACACTGAAAATAGAGAAACAGATGTCAATACGTAAAAGATGACAACATTAAAACAAAAAAGGACTTAAAAAATGTAGACGTAGATTTTTTCACATGGAGAGGAAGTCAAACTGATATAAAGAAACAATGCCTAGTTTTCAGTCAGAAATTAATAAACATGTCAAGAAGGAAAATGTGACCCATAATTAAGAGATTAAAAATAAATAATTGAAATAGACCCAGAAATGAGAACATCATAAACATCAGGGAAGTGCACATTAAAAGTAAAATGAGATCCCACTACACATTCATTGGGATGGCTAAAATTAAAAAGATTGGCAATATCAAGTGCTGACAAGGATCTGGAGGAACTAGAACTCTCATATGTTGCTGATGAGAATGCAAAATGCTACAGTCACTTTGGAAAACTGTTAGGCTATTTCTTAAAAAGTTAATTGTCCACTTACCATTTGACCTAGCAAATTTATCTATGAGAAATGAAAACAAAGACTTGTACTCAAATTAGTCATAGAAATTTTATCCACAGTTGCCAAAACCTAGAAACAGCCCAAATGTCTATCAGCAGATGAATGGGTAAGAAAATTGTGGCAAATTTGTGCATTGGAATACTATTAAGAAATTAAATGAACTACTGCTATGCAGGACAACATGTGTGCATCTCAAAAACATGCTGACCAAAAGAAGCTGAACACAAAGAATACTTTCTGTATGATTTCATATATATGAAACTTGACCAAGACAAATTCAGTCTATAGCACCAACAAGCAGATAGGTGGTTTTCTGAGGCCAGGGATAGGAGTAAATTGTTTGGAATGAGGCACAAAGAATCTTTTTGGGGCAATGGAATTTTTTTTAGATATATATTTTGTTATGGTGTTAGCTACACAGGTGTATAAATGTGTTAAAATTTATCAAAAAATGCATTTAACATTTTTGTAAGTAAATCATGCTTCAATGCAGTTATTAAAAAAAAAAACAAAAAACTAGCTCTTCCATATACTATTTGAAAGACCTTAGTTAATATATTATCCTCTCTGTACCTTAGTTTCTGCGTGTGTAAAGTAGGGATAATATTACTACCTAACCTTGGAGGTTGTGAGAATAAATGAATTAAAGATTGTGAATCTCTTAAACAGTGCCTGGCACATACTGAGCACTATGTATAGTGTTAGTTACTATGAACCAAATTTCTATAGTTAGCAGAATCATGGTTTTTTTTTTCAGTTCCATAAAGTTGTTTCTGAGTTATTTTTTTAGGAACCTATTCTGAAAGTTCTTTTTATTGATCCTCTGTCTGGCTGCCTCATGCCCAGAATTTCTTAAAATAAAGTTACCTGATTAGGTTCCCACAGTTAGTAAATACCAGGGCTGGGATTCAAACGCAACTCTCTCTGATTTTAAAGCTTGTGCCTATAAACTCTGTAACAAAAGTGCGTATGCAAGCACCATAGTAAAATTATGAGTTAACAGTGGTTATCTCCGGCTGATGCCAAGAAATTTGGAAGACAGCTACCTGGCCAACCGGTTGGAAGAGATCATTGTTGGTGCCCGTTCCAAGGAAAGGTGATCCAACAGAAAGCAGAAATTGTTGAACAATACCATTAATGTCACATGAAAGTAAAATTTTGCCGGAGATAGTTCAAAAACGGTTGCAGCAGTACATCAA